CCCCCTTTGTGTGCTAGAAACTATGCTAAGGATGCAAATACAAATGAGAGTAGTACTTCCCCTCAAAGAGTTTATGTTCTGTAGTTCAGAGAAACGAAAGAAGATGGAGACTAAGAAAAAGTCATTGGATTGAGCAAGAGAAAGGTGACAATGAAGTGAAGAAAGGAAAGGCCTGTAATTCTTGTGGTGATCTACACAGAAAAAGCAAAGTTGAGATAAAAACCCAATTTTTAATTTTATTTAACAATACACCAATGAGGGCTTTATGACATAGAAATGTCTCGACATACTTGTTGGGAAGTACTCCCTAGAGGAATCACTATTTAAAATAGTACTGAGTTGAGTCCTTTAAAAAAAATGAATTGTTAAGTAATGTTGAAAAATCACCCTTTAGTTTATCTGTTTTGAGATTAAGTTCAAATTTTTATAGATTGAGTTTTCTTGAAACAGGGCACTATCCTAAAATTAATAATATATCAGCAATCTGTGATTTTGTTGGGGGTAGTATTCCTTTGACTAATATAAAGTACAGCCTCTCTTTATGTAATAGTCTTCCAGATGTTTACTAAGACCAAAACATTCACCATTTGTTCAATCTGGGGATCAGTCCCCTCCACATTCCACTAGGATGATGTTCAAAATAAGTAGACCTGTATAGCCCATCACCATTTTTATTTTTAAAAAATATAACTGAACTCCTTAAGGAACAGTGTTATTTTAAGTGTCAGTGTGTTAGGAATGTAAGAGTGCCATGGTACAAGTTGTAGACTATAGTTATGTTGATGCATTATGTACTTTTATTTCATTCTGGTTCTGACTGAATCCCGGAAAGCTGAGTCATGCATCTGGGAGTTCTGTGTTATTCTTAAGGTCTTTCATTAGGCGTAAGTGCTCCAGGCCATTTGGGGTGCTTTGAATATTGATGTCTGCTTAAAATTGTAAGATTTTTTTGAGGTGATGAGAGATTGGATTCTAGTCTAAACTTACCGTTTTATAAAGGAAGCAACTGAATTCTAGAGAGAGATCCCTTAACCCAGATTGTCGTGAGTAAATGGCAGATCTGGCACTAGAACCTCTACCATGAACTACTTCTGTAGTTTTGGAAACAGAGGAGAGTCACTTTACAATCCCTGCATTTTTGTTTTTCCACCATATCCAAATCTACCATAATTGTAATCTTCACTAACCTCCTCAATGGGGGGGGGGAGAGGGAGGGGAAGAGCACTATAAAAATTATAAAATTATGAAAATTATTTTAGAAATCATAATGCATAAAAATTATTAAGAAATGTATGCTTGTGAAACATTATTTCCAACCCAGCAACCATAATGCTATTATTTGATAGAATCTTTTAGTTTCTCATAAGTACTGGAGTCACCATTTTTGGTTGCCTAAAGCAGCCTTTTCACATGAAGCCAAAACAATCAATATTAAATTATGACTGTGGAGGTGGTAGGCTTCAAGGCTGCAGATAGAGCATAGTAGCATTCAGACCTTTACCAGCATTTCCTGCTTTTATTGGATGAATCCCCAAGAGAATGGCTTAGTTTTCTAAAGAAATGCTTGTCTTCCATTACCTACTTCATCATTGAGTAGCTGGTATTGAAAATGAAAGAACTGAGATGAAGAAAATTCATATATTTTCACCTGCACTGGAATGTTCCATTATTTGCTCTCTAACCTGCCATTCTAGCTTTATCACAATTCCACAAAGGCTATAGAGTAATGCCTACGCCTGCCCACCCAGGATGGCTTCATGTAGACTTCTTTATATCAAGCTGGACTGGTTAATTTAATGTACCTCTCAAATATGGCTTTTGTATTCCCACATCTAAACCATTGTTCATGTTTTCTCCCTACCTAGAGTGCCCTCCCCACTCCTTCCTATCTACCTAAATTATTATTCTAAATTATTTTTTCCTTCATTTTCTCCCTTTGATTGTTTTTATGTATTTCTTAGTCAATAAACTCAAGCATCTGCTAAGTGCTAGGCACTGTGCTAAGCACTGAGCATACAAATATGGAAAAAGAAAGACAGTCCCTGCCCTCAAGGAACTTATAATCTAATGGGAGAGGACAGTACACAGAAGGAAACTGAAAAGGGAGAGAGGTGAAGCAAGTAGAGAAGTAAGAAATGTCCCAGAATGGTACTTAGCTTAGCTCCCTCCTTGAATGTAGGTTTCATAGTTCATGGATTTATGCTTCAATCAGAGGGGCAGAGGATAGTGATGAGATGGAGTACTGACTGATGGGATCTTGTGGGATGATGAGAGTTGAATGAGCTTCCGGAGGGGCATGATGGGGAAATCAGAGATGTCCCAGAATGGTGCAGCCAGATAGCACTCATTTATATATTTCAAAGATGTGTGACTTTATCCTTGGCAGAAGTCCCCTCTGTCAATGTAAGTCTCAGCTTTTCTACATCTTAATAGACAATCTTTATGAGTTGATGTGTCAGTAGTGATAGTGGAAAAATCACCTGATTGCCCATCTTTTAGTGATGAAGCTCTCAAAAGGTAGCTGGTCATTGATAACACACATTCAGTCCAGTGCTGTCCGTGTACTCAAAACCTTTATTTAGGTCTACTAGAGATTGTATTCCATTGCCATAACTTTCAAGATCAAGGAGTCATTTCCATGCCACAATGAAGCCTCAGAGTAGGTCTTCCATCTGATCTTACCCATTTAGTACAGATTATTTTCTTCCTGGTATTATTAAATTGGTAGCTCCTTATTAAGCACCTTCTATGTACAAATCAATTCAGCATACGCTTATTGAACATCTATTATGTGCAAGGCAGCATGTTTTCTTTCTCCTGGTAATTAACAAGGAAATAGGACCCTGCATTATTAACAAGTTGAGCTTTTGCTTTTAAAAAGTGTCTGGTGTTTTTTTTTTTCCCCCAGTGTACATTCTCTTCTTTCTCTTTGCTGTGTGTGGGAATGTTTATTAACTTTAGCACAAGCTTAACTTTTGGTCACTAAAACAGGGTTAGGGTTGCTTTCTAGGCACTTAATATGTTGGTTGATTGCTTGTGTAAATAAATCCACAGACTTGGATTTGACTCTCTTGTGGGCCAATTAGCTTTTCTTTTTTCCTTTGATTCGACTGCACCCCTGTCTCCTAAACTGAGTGTCAGTGGATGAGAATGAACTTTTTCATGATTTGAAAAACAGCACATAAGAGTATGTCTTACTGACAAGAGGTTTTACTATTATCATATTTAGGTGAGAAGTTGAATGCATTTATCATGGCATTTAATGCTTTAAAAAGTTATAAACTTAAAAATGGACTTCTTCCTGATACTCAGGTATAATACCTATTACTTAACCTTTGAAGTAGATAATACTAATAAATTTTCATTTAAAAAGTATTTATTAAATACATATGTTCTGGGTAAGGTCTAGGTATAAAAGAAAACAGCCCCTGAAATAGGGGGATTTTCATTTTACTGGGGACTCCACCATGCAAGCAGACACATCAGTGCGAAAAAATGCTATATATGAAATAATTTGGGGAGAGCACTAATAATTGGGGGCATCAGGAAAAGCGTTATTATGTAGGAGAAGGCATTTAAGATGGGCCTTGAGGGAACCTTAGGGGATTCCAAGAAACAGATGAATAAGCAGTACATTCCTGACATGGAGGGACAACCTCTCTGTGCAAAGACATGTAGGTAAGAGATGGTGTGTTGGATATGGGGAAGGGTAAGGGAACTAGTCTGGTTTGGAACATAGAGTATATAAAGGAGAGGAAAATGGAAAGAGAGGTTGAAGCCACAGTAGTAAGGCCTTTAAATCCCACACAGAGGGCTTGTGTTTTATCCTAGAGGCAATAGAAGGCACTGAAGCTTTCTCCGCAGAGGATTGATGTGGTCAGACCTGTGTTTTAGCAGTGTAAATTTGGCATCTACCTGGTGGATGGATTAGAGAGTGCCAGGACTGGAAAGAGAACCAAGTAGATAGCTATTGGTATGAGAAAAGTGATGAGAACTGAAGCAAGAGTGTTGTTTGTAGACAAATATAATTATCTCTAATAATAAGATATCATAGCATAATTGATATACCATGCCATAGTTGAAAGAAAGGAATTCTTGCGAATAGAGGCTATGTGACTTTGGGGAAGTTCCTTAATCTCTCAGTAACCATGTCAGAAGTGGGACTTCTGGCTTAAAGGTTGCTGTCTAATTTGATCTCACATTGCCTTTAATAGGGTATGATTATGTCCCCCCAACTAGAGGAATTAATGTGGCTTGTTGCCATATGATAGATAAGTAGCAAAATGAAAGTAGTACTTTGTCTTTTAGACCACACACATGGAATCTAGCCTTCTAAGAATTTTTTTTTAATGTTGTTGTTGTGGTTGTAGTTGTTAAAAATATTTTCTGGAATTTGTCTATTGGCTTTTCCTCCCTAAAGGACGTGAGGAAACCTAGTGACTTTACTCCTGGATTTCAAACCTCCCCAATTTAATTCTATAAGCAAATGGCTTTGCCATTTGATTTCGTTGGGTGGTCTGTATCTAAGCATGGACTTTCCTGAAATTCCTGTGATTCCCGTCTGGTGTCTGCCTCTGTGTGTCTCTCTCAGTCTCTCTCTGTCTCTGTCTCTCTCTCCGATTTATCATAGTTCCTCAGTGAGATTTTCCTTAAAAATATAAAACTTTAACCATGGCCATTCTTGGATCAGTCTGGTTAAATTTACATATAATAAACAGGATCCTCTCACTTACTCTGGCTTTGGCACTGGAGGTTAAAACATGAAAAAAATCTGTACTATCAGCATGCTTTTGTCTAGGATACCCCATTGGAAATGGGATAGATGTGATAAACATGTTAGCTTTTGACTCTTGTTCTAGTTCAGTCTTTGGAAATCCTGATATATTTTTGAGGTTCTCATCTCTCTGTTGACTTAAAAAAAATAGTGATGACAAAGTTTGAAAAGTAATTGGAGCTTTGAAATCCCAAATTCCATTCATTCATTTATTTGTTTTCTTCAGTGATTCCTCAGATTCTGAGAAGTACATTCACTCAAGACAGAAGAGGCTTCCAACTGAAGAAAAATAATTTTTGAGTGATTAAGTAAGTGCTTATATTCTGAAGTTTTTTTTTCTTTTTGTAGTTTTAGATTTGGGGCTTTTATACCTTTTTATACCTTCGTTTCCCATTAAAGGACTAGACAGCTTCCCCCACCTCGAGCTCACTCATATTGTCTCCCTGTAGGGTGGTATAACATTTGGAAACCTGATTGATAGTCCTCTACCCTTAGCCTAGGGAGGTGATTGCTGAATAGTGTTAGAATGAAAAGTAGCCTAGCTCTCTACCATTTGCTGGACTTACTTGTAAGGTAAAATCCTATTCCACTTAGAAATCCTTCCTAACAGCGCAGTTGCTTTTTAAAAACAGCAACATGGGCAAAACTGAGTGTGAGAAATTTAAAAGCAATGCAAAACATTTTTTCTTGCCCTTTTTTCCTGCCCAAAGTGTGCGTCCATTCGAAATACATGAGTGAAAAATGTGAATATGTATGTATGTGGGCTGCTTTTTTCTGATTAGAGTTTAGGCTGCATCTTTACTTATTTTAATTTTCTCTTTTACCTTTCTAATTCTTTTAAGGGGGAAAAAAACCCTTCTGAATCTCCTCCCTAAGTAGCAACCACAAGTAAAATGAATCAAATAAGCTTATGCCTATTTCTGGGCTTGCCTGAATTGCTAATAATTCAGTGATTTCACACTGGGTATTTGTCTAAGAATAGACCCTACATATTTCTTCCAAGGAGAAATGTTTAATTGACATAATCTTATTACATTGTGTTCTGGTCTCCTTATCCATCAATGACAACAGGTCTATGAATACATTCAGCAGAGTTTCATTATAGGATTTCTTATGACATGGATTTAGATACACTATAGGTTAAATCATTTCACTTAGTATCTACATTCAGAAAAACCCTGATTGTAACATATTTATCATATTAAGTATGTGTCACTATTGCCCTTTAACAGTTTTTGTAAAGGAATTTTCATGTTTACTTAAGCCTTTTACCAAGTTCTGGACAGTATGCCTCTCAATTCAGCCTAAAATTGTATTAACTTTTTGACTGCTAAGTCATACTTTTAACTAACTTATATTGAGGGTATAGTAGACTTATTTTATTAAAATTCATATGTGAAAATGAATTTAGTTAATATTCTTTGGTGTTCCCAATTCACTCTACAAAGCAGCTCTCAAAACTTTGTGGTTCTAGAAAGCAGACCCATTAATTACCTTGGGTTGCTTCTCCAACTTTGCTTACTACAAATGGAGTCTAATCCTTTTTATTTTCAAATCTGTCATTTCCTCCATTTGCAGTATATTTTAGGTTATATGTTAAGGAGCTGCTTTCCTCTTTTTCTCCTCTTTTGAAGATTTGTTTTATGTCTCTCTCTTTCTTTTTTAAATTCATTCCTTAGTCAAGAATTTTATCTTGTTGAGTTCTCTTCAAGTTTGAACCTTGGATGGCATTGTACTCCCTTGGTATGTATTTTACTCTAAAGTCACAGAATCTCAAAACTGAAAGGGACCGAAGAGGACATCTATGCCAACAATACCTGCAGAGAAATCCCTTCTACCATATTCCTACTGGGAAAGTCATGTCACCCTCACCAGAAGACGTCCAGCGAGAGCAAACAGACAATGACCTTTGCCAGTGCATAGTTCTAATTGGGGTAGGGGGGAGGGTCTCCTTCCTAATCGTTAGTCTCTATCTGATTCTTTGCGGTTTATGTCCATTACTCCTAATTTTTCCCTCTTGAAGTACACTAGAAAAGGCTTCCTTGGACAAACCACTTAACCTTTCTGGGTGGACAGCTGTAAAATGAGTGAATTGGACTAGATGATCTCAAATGTCGTCTTAGCTCTAAATCTGATTCTGTGATCTCAAGCCTAATCCTTTTTACAAATCACAGTTATTCGAATATTTGAGCAATTATGACTCCACTAAATTTCTCTCCACACTAAATAAATTGAGGTCTTTTAACAAAAGGTTCTTAGCTTTATCTGTAAATGCACACCTTTGGCACTGTGATTAAACCTGTGGACCCCTTCTCAGAGCAATATTTTTAAATGCATAAACTACATACGATTATAAAAGAAGCCAATTATATTGAAATTTACCCATCAAAATATTAAAAAGTTGACAGACACTAGATTAAGAACACCTGCTTCGACCAATCCTAAACTAGCATGGTTTATACCCTTTCTATTCCAGGGGTTCTCTTCTATCACTCTCCAGCTTGTCCATTCCTTTTCTCAAATGTAATGCACAGAATGGAACATATTCCAGAAATATTTAACCAGAGCAAATTAAAGCAAGATTAGAGGCTGATAGATGGCTCAATGAATACATTATTGGACTTAGGGGTAGGAAGAACTGAATTTGAATCTGGTTTCAGATGCTTACTAGCAGGATGGCATTGGGCAAGTCACTTAATCGCTATTTGCCTAAATTTCCCCATTTGTAAAACATAGAACACATATCACCTACCTCACAGAGTTGTTTCGAGGATCAAATGAGATAACATAGGTAAAGTGCTTTGCAAACCGTAAAGTGGTATAAAAATGAAAACTATTTTCATCATTATTATCATTATGCTACCTAACAAAGGTGCTTTTAAAAACAGTATTGGAGATAAAAGAATAAACAATTTAGATTTAATCACCCTTTTTTGAACTACAATATTTTGGGGGTATTCAATTTTTAATGATATCTTAAAATAAATCCATGACTTTCTGTTTAAATCATGCCAGATAGAACAAGTAATTTCTGGCCTTCAGTTACCCCATTGGTGAAATGGGTACAGTTTATCACCTTCTAGGCTCAATCATTTTATTTTTTTTAATTAATTTTTAGTTTTCAACATTTATTTCCACAAGATTTTGAGTTCCAAATTTTTACCCCGTCTTGCCCCTTCTACCACCCCAAAAGGGCATGCATTCTGAATATCCCTTCCCCTAGTATGCACTCTCTTCTATCTCTCCCCGCCTTTTCTTATCGCCTTCCCTTTCTATTTTCCTGTAGGGCAGGATAGACTTCTGTAGCCCATTTCCTGTATTTCTTATTTCCCAGTTGCGTGTGAAAACATTTTTTTAAAAGATGTGTTTTTAAAACTTTGGGTTCCAAATTTTCTCCTTTCTTCCCTCCCCATCCACCCTCATTGAAAAGGCAAGCAACTCACTATGGGTTATACATGTACAGCTGTGCAAAACACTTCCATAGTAGACATGTTATGAAAAACTAACTCTATTTCCCTTAATCCTATCCTGCCCCCCCATTTATTCCATTCTTTCTTTTGACCCTGTCCCTCCTCAGAAGTATTTGCTTCTGATTACCCCTTTCCCAATCTGCACTCCTCTCTATCATCCCCCTGCTCTCTTGTCCCCTTCTCCCCCTATTTTCCTGTAGGGTAAGACAGATATCCATACCCAATCGAATGTGTATGTTATTCCCTCCTTAAGCCACATCCTATGAGAATAAGATTCATTCATTCCCTCTCACCTTCCCCCGTTTCCCTCTACTGTAAGAGCCTTTTCTTTTCTGTTTTTTTTTGTGAGGTAATTTACCCCATTTTACCTCTCCCTTTCTTCTTCTAGTATAATCTTCTCTCATCCCTTAATTTTATTTTCCAGGTATGATCGCTTAATCTTCAACTCACCCTGTGCCTCTATCTCTCTATCTATCTATCTATCTATCTATCTATCTATCTATACATATAATTTTTTCCCCTTCCACTACCCTAATACTGACAAAGGTCTCATGAGCTATAAATACCATCTTTCCTTGCAGGAATATAAACAGTTCAACCTTAATAAGTCTCTTATGATTTCTCTTTCCTGTTTACCTCTTCATGTTCCACTTGAGTCCTGTATTTGAAAGTCAAATTTTCTATTCAGCTCTGGTCTTTTCATCAGGAATGCTTGAAAGTCCTCTATTTCACTGAATAACCATTTTTTCCCCTGAAGGATTATACTCAGTTTTGCTGGGTAGGTGATTCTTGGTTAATCCTATCTCCTTTGCCCTCCGGAATATTATATTCCATGCCCTGTGGTCCTTTAATGTAGAAGCTGCTAAATCTTGTGTTATCCTGATTGTGTTTCCACAATACTTGAATTGTTTCTTTCTGGCAGCTTGTAATATTTTCTCCTTGACCTGGGAACTCTGGAATTTGGCTACAATATTCCTAGATTTTCCTTTGGGGATCTCTTTCAGGAGGAGATCTTGGATTCTTTCAATTTCTATTTTGCCCTCTGGTTCTAAAATATCAGGGCAGTTTTCCTTGATAATTTCTTGAAAGATGATGTCTAGGCTCTTTTTTTGATCATGGCTTTCAGATAGTCCAATAATTTTTAAATTCTCTTTCCTGGATCTATTTTCCAGGTCAGTTGTTTTTCCAATGAGATATTTCACATTGTTTCTAATTTTTCATTCTTTTGGATTTGTTTTATGTGTCTTGATTTCTCATAAAGTCACTATCTTCCAATTGCTCTATTCTAATTTTTAAGGAAGTATTTTCTTCAGTAAGCTTTTGGACTTCCTTTTCCATTTGGCCAATTTTTCTTTTTAGGGCATTCTTCTCCTCATTGGCTTTTTGGACCTCTTTTGCCATTTGGGTTAGGCTATTTTTTAAGGTGTTATTTTCTTCAGTATTTTTTGGGGTCTCCTTTAGCAAGCTGTTGACTTGTTTTTCATGATTTTCTTGCATCACTCTCATTTCTCTTCCCAGTTTTTCCTCTGCTTCCCTTACTTGCTTCTCAAAATCCCTTTTGAGCTCTTCCAAGGCCTGGGACTGATTCATATTTTTCTTGGAGGCTTTGGATGTAGGAGCTTTGATTTTGTTGTCTTCTTCTGGTTGTATATTTTGATCTTCTTTGTCAGCAAAGTAAGATAATGTAGTCTGACTGTTTTTGTGCTGCTTGCTCATGTTCCCAGCCAATTAACTTGAGTTTTAAACTCTTTGTTAAGGTAAGAGTTTGCTTCCAATGTGGAGAATATACTGTCCCAAGCTTTGGGGGTTTGTATAGCTGTTTTCAGGGGTACTTGTAG